TCTCAATTCCAATAGTTGGTGCTAAGGCTAGTTTTTGATTCCAATAGTCACTACCAATATCACGTGAATTTTAACCAATCTACTCCTCTCCTTAGGCGAACTCCCGCCAATGATCATGCTATGCATTCTCACATTATTTGCATTTTAAAAATGAATTCATAATACATGAGCTCACATAACTCAATACTCCACGATTCAATGCATAATATCACAATTCTCCACTTATAGTAATAAATTATAATCAATTTCATAAAACACCAAGGGTGGCAAAATCAAGGTTTTTTTTTCAAAACCATTTCATAAATCAAACATCTTGCCAATATGCATCATTAATTTAACTCGTAATTCACATTTCGCAACACAATTAACATTCAATTATAAAGATTTAAGTTTTCCTCAATTACCTTAAACTTTTGAGAAGTCAAATGTTTACCCCTCACTATAATAACTTCTCAAAGTTTCAATAAGCTCGAATGGTGCCAAAAAATGAATCTCCCTACATCCATACTACAAGAATTTTATTATTGTCTAACTCTTAAAGCTTTATCAACATATAACTTCACACACTTTATTTTTATCAACTCATAATCACTACCTATTTATACCCAATGGGCTCATTAAATTTCATTAATGCGTATTATCATTAACAACATTTCAAACCATCATTAATACGCATAAACCTCTCCCAACTACTATATTTATAATAATTTTTAGATAATAAATGCTTTTATGGACTATCCACTTTCAAAATCATCAATGTGGTATTTCAATACATTAAACAATTCTCATTATACTTATTTTAACTAATGGAATTGGACTTATACTCCTATGGATCGAAAATCCATTTTCCAATTCAAACCCTACCATAAATCATCTTAAATGAGGGAGAGAAAGGAAAAATGAGACTTAGATTACCTACCTTGAGTGTTTGGGAGCTTCAAAACATCAACAATAGAAGCCAATGAGCATGCCCTAGCAGAGCTTCAATGTTCTCTTCGTTTTCTTCCTCTTCTCTCTTTTCTTTTCTTGCACAAACGTGATCTAATTTATTAAAAATTTTGCCCATGTGTAGCGGTGCATGATGCCCTTCACGTGCCGTTGCATTTAAATTTATCTTTATGCACCGTGGTGAACCAACCATATGGTATAGAGAATAATTCTTTACTTTTTCTTCCTCTTTCCTTGCCTGAATGGCCTGCCATCGATTCGAGCCTACTTTTAAGGCTGAAATTACAACAATTATACCAAATTAAGTCCCTCTAATCACACACCTCATTAACTCACTAATTACCATCAATAGATTAATAAACTAAGGTTAAATTTTCTCAGATGTTACAGCAACTCTCACTGTTGAAAATAAAGAAGTTAGTTATAGACCATTGAGTAAAAAGTTATCAAATATCAGTTACAAACCAAAATAGTAAATAAAGTAGTCATAAAAAATAGCAAAATAACTAAAAAGAACTAAAAGCAAAAGAAATAAAGATACTAATCAAAAAGATATAAATCAACCAAAGTGAAAGCTCAATATCATGGTGGGTTCAACCTGAGAGGGATCCATGGATGGAATAGGAGAAGGTGCCATAGATGAACTAGGCACGTCATGACCTGGTATGTGTAAGTGTTGCATGATGAGGCGTAAATGCTCTTCTAACCTCTTAACGGCATCCGCTAATGACCCTAATTGTTGCTTAGCCCACACATTAAAAGGAGGAGAATAAATAGGGGTGGGCCGACTGACTTCTTTCCTTTATTCTACCAGAGACTCCTCTACTTGAGATGATTTGGCATGCATTTTATGGTACTTGATAGGCTAACGGGGTTGTTGTTAGTTTTCATCATCAGTAATGGGAGCCTTGGCAACAAGAAGCAACTTAGTAATCAAATAAGGGAAGGTAAGTGCTCTTTTAGTCTTGACATTGATACATTACTTAATAGATTCATAGATAATAGTAGCTAGATCAACTAATTTTCTCTCCATAATGCAATAGATGAGAAAAGAATGATCCTTGTTCATTTTCAATGCATTTGATGTGGGCATGACATTATGAGCCACAAAATGAAACCAAAATGTGCTTTGCCTTGTAAGTGTACCCCTCAATAGCCTCCTTTGACAAAAGCCAACAGATCTAAAACATAAATGCTTGGCTACTGCATCTCAATTAGGTGTAAAGATGTTCATCTTGTATTGGTGATAAAGACAGTCAGTAATAGAAGGGAAGCCATAATAATTCTAAAAAACCTCGACATTAATTACTATTTCCTTATCGCTCACCTAGTAAGTGTCATTACATCAATGAAATGCATTTGCATAAAATTACCTAACTAGAGTAGGGATATAATATTGAAATTTTTCATTTGTCAAATACACCATTCATCCCCTTCACACCATTGTTTAAAAGGCAGCTTTGGAGCATAAAATTGCACAATAATAGTTACAAATAAAATTATTGGATCCCACAAGAGAGAGAAATCTGTCTTGGCATGCATGATTCATGAATTTCTCATTATTGAATGGTTGCTTTGACTTTTTAGTAGCTTTATGACCACAAGAAGGGGTAGTCTTGCATTTGGCTCTACTCTTGTGACGCATGGCTAAAACATAAACAATAAAGATAAGCCACAATAAGTCACATTTAACAAACCACCACAGAAGTAATCACATGCCAAAAATTAAATAAAGACAACCAAGTGAAAACAAGAGTTAGGCTAACATGTGAAAGTAGGAAAGTCAAAATAAAGGCCCTACTCAAGCCATAAGAACATGTCAGATCAACTTTCAACATAAGCAAATAAAAAATAAAATTTTAAGATTTAGTGCCAAAATTTGGTAAAGTCAAAGAATATTTAACTAAACCAATGTACCTTCAATATTACAAAGAAAGTGATCCTTACTTTGAAATTTCAACTTATTAACTAAGCTAAATAACCATTGTTCAGAGAGCCAAAGCAATATGCACAATATTCAAAACACCTAATTATAAAAAACAAATAGCATTGCTCACAGCTGAAATTTATCTCAAATGAAAATTGTAAGGATAGTTCAAATCATAAATTTTACATTGAGATAAGGATGGGTCCACGCAATGCACAACAAATATTCAATTCAAAGTTCAGAGCATAATTCCAATCGAACCAATTCCAACCACCAACGCCCATTGCAACTCTCACAGGCTATACGAAATATACACACCTCAAATCAGATATAATGTGTGAGATTTATACCTGGAGCTTGACCGAAAATATGCACAATAGGAAAGGAAGGGAATTCAGCATGCACAGGTGTAATAATGAAGTGTTAAATGATGACTTACACAAATGGAAAAGTAAAATGTGATGACTACAAATGGCTGTGCAAGTGGATTAAAATAAAGTAGAAGCTAAAATAGCAACAAGCCGAGACGGTGGTGAGTGTACCGATGTGGAAGAGAAATGAATATGGTGATTTAGGAGATGAAAAGAAAGAGAAAAAAAAAAAAATAGCAGAGCTCGACGGGCAGAAGTAGAAAGCAGAGCAAAATAGAAAAGAAAGTGACGAGAAGCAGGGGCAAGTTAGAGGCTCAGAGTGAAGGACGATGAAGAGAGGGGAGACGATGAACAGAGGTTATGAAGGCGAAGATGAGCCACTACGAAACTGAAGAAGCTGAGAGCTGAGGTTATGAGTAGTGAAAACGAGCTTCATACAGTGCGAAACAGAACAGAGCAAGGAAGTAAGTAACGAGGAGCAGGGACAATGGCGGACAAGGGCTGTGAACAATGAGGAAAGGAAGCAACACATATTGATACACAATGGAGATGCTGGAACGAACCTATTAGCGGCCGAAGAAGAAGATGATAATGGCGGAATAATGCAATACACAGCGGAGGACGATGAAATACGGTTGGAAATAGACGATGAATGAAGATGCATCACCTGAGGAAGGAGAATAAGTTGCAGACAGAGGTGAAGCACGCCGGCGGTGGAAGACACACAGAAAAGAATATATGGTGGAGGAATTTTGTACACGGTGGAGATGCTGGGGTGAGCCTTGTGACCAGCTGAACAGAGGGAAGACAGATGAATGCGAAGCTGCTGGCAATGACGGAACACTGTGGCTGTGTGGCAGTGAGAATGCTCGACGGAGGAACGCTGCACACGGCGGAGAGGCTGGAGTGAATATGGGTTGAACGAGGAACAAAGATGCAGAACTGAGGAAGGAGGAGGAGTGACGGCAGAGGGTTGAAGACAGAGAACAAAGGTGAAAGGAAAAAAAAAAAAAAAAAAACTAGGATAAAATGGCAAGAGGGTAAAACTGTAAAAACAAAAAAAATATTTTTGATTTAAATTTTGTTAAAAAATAAAAAAAATGCACAGTTCCCTTTTTTAAATATGAAAATTTTTTTTAGTGCAATTAAAATAAAATAAAATAATCAATAAAATATATAAATATATATATATATATATATTTGAATTTTCTTAGTAAAATAAAAAAATAATAAACTAAAATAATATATATATTGTATAAAAAATTTTATTCAAAATAAAATATTTTATAATAATGAAAATTTAAATTTTTTTAGAAAATAAATATTTACAAATTTATTTTTATAATTAAAATTTTTTAAACTCAATTAAAGATTTTATTTTAACAAAATAAAAGTTCGCCCTAACTAGCAAATGTAACAATCCTAAATTTTTAATTAAAATTTTTTTTAATTAATATTTAATTTATTTATTCTAATTTTATAACAAATAAAGATTAGTAGCTTAATAAAATTTATGCTAGTTATTATATAGAGTTTTAAAGTTTGAATGTTACTTAAAATTAAAAGGTTAGTTTTATTTTCAATGTATGAGAAATTATTAAATTGCCTTTGTTCTTATTATAAAAATATTATAATAACGATAATAAAAACTGGTGGGGGTCACTTTTAAAATTTTCCCTGGCAGAGTTTGGGTCTTATTTTATAATTTTCCCAATGAGCTGATCATTTCAAATATCCACTTCCTCCTTGATCGGCTAAGAGTCGCAGAACGGAGTGGAGAGCATTCGCACCTGTCTCTGTTTTGTTTCGTTTCATTTCCCATCGCATAGGCTTCAATCTCTTCGTTGCTGTGCTCATCTCCTCACCGTTGGTAAGAATCCATCTCTTTCCTCGCTGTTCGTCCATCTCTGTTAGGTGGAATAAATGAATCTCTTCCCCTGTTTCTGTTTTGTTCGTGGCTGACGGAGGTTTATGGGTGTGTGCGTGCCCTGTTTTTCTTTTTCTTCCTCCTCAGCTGCTGGACTTGCGTGTGTGTGGGCCTAGAAAGCTCAAATCCTTCCTCTTTCCGGTCTGATATTCTGCTTCTCCTTCCCATTAAGCAGCTGAGTAGAACTCATCTCTTATCGTTCGGTGTAGTCAATGAGCTGAGGAGTGGCTGTTACTACTGCACTTCTATTTGGGGTAAGACGTTGATGCTTTCTTTTTCTCCTTTGGATTCAAAAGCAGCGTGATCATCTTTTCTCTTCTTCCTCTGGCCGTAGAGTGCGTTCCTCCTCCTTAGGTTTGCTGTCATAATTTTGAGGAAATTAAACTATATTTTGGTTGGTGCTGCGTGTTACTATTTTAACTTGGTGATGAGCTGAATATTGATGAATATTGATGATAGAGTTGATGTGGTAGTTAGTTAAATTTGTTGAATGCCTACTGTGAACTGAATTTTGATGAATGCCCTCAATATGTTTGTAAAAATGCTTGAGGGAATGATGTTAAATTGTCGTAGTATAGCTTGAAGGAATATATGTGAGTAATGGCTTTAGCTAAAGATTGAAATTTTAAAATATCAAACGAGGAGTAGTGATTACATAAGATTTTTACATGACACTTTATTAACTTTGTAAAGGTAGCATAAGAATAATTAATATGATTTATTATGATTTGTAATTAAGGATAGGTTATGAGGAGGTACAATGATGAATTAAGGTTTGTCAATAATTTAATTCACTCAAGGATACTTGGAATAGAAGATAGTGCTATCTAGGTTACTGCTTTCAAATTATGAAGTTGTTTATAATTTTATTTATATTATGTTTTAAAGTATTTGAACATGAAAGTTAAAGGAGATATGACTATTTAATTTTCATATTAGAACCTTGAGGGGTTATATATGATGTTTGCAAAAGTATGTCTTCACATAAATTGTACAGTTGATCTACCTATTGGAATTGTACAGCACCTGAAAGGTGATTATTAGACTAAATGATGATCAAGATTTTGTTAAGTTTGGAATAAAAGTAGTGTTAATAGTGTTGGTTGAATGTTCCTAGTGTTGTTAACCATTTGATAGAAGTTGTTGAAGGGTTATTGAAGATTTAAGGTATTAATAAGAAATTTTAGGACCTAGTACAGATTTTGAATGTTAGTATTGTTTGTTTATTCTAAGAAAGGAAATTTGTGACATAAAATATGTTAGTTTATATGCTAGACTAATTTGGAGGCATCATTGAGTAAGCAAGAAATTGAGGGAGTCTGATTATAAAATTTTTTGAAAGCTTAGGTGAGTGGATAGCATTCTGAATCAATTTTTAAAAAAGTGTTTATAAGATCCCTTTAGTTAAATTTTATATTATTCATTTATAAATTATACAAATATTCTTGTTTATCCTATTCTTCCAATAATTGTTTTATTAATGCATATATGTTGATCTTATTGATAATTTATTTGTTGATAAGAAATGATTGAAATGAATGTATAATAAATGATATTATTTCTCAAAAATAGTTTTAAATACTTAATTCTATGTAGATATAAACATTTGCAATTCAACAACTCATATATGGGGAAAATGATAAAAATTTTGGACAAATGAAAATGATAGTTGAACAATGTTTGAAAGAGAAAAGTTTGAAATTATTTTCTTGCTTCATACATACTTGATTTTGTTGAGGAGGACTGAGTTCAGAACACTGAAAGCTAACGGTTTTGTTAGCCTTTGGCACGCTATGATACACCTAGCTATTAGGGTGCTTATAAGAGGTGCTAGTCCCATGCGATGGTTAACGCACGTGGAACGGAGGGATGGTTATTCGTGAGCATTGTACTCATGCTTATTTTCATAGGCTTCATGCCTGCGCTTGTTTCGTGGCTTTTAGCCGTGCTTGATTGGTTATTTATCCTCATGGCCTGTGTCTCCATGCTTAATTGGTTATTTACCTCGTGGATTGGGTGTCCACATTTGTTATTCATTCTGATAAAGCCCTCTTAAATTTAAGTTAAAATTTATTATTTCTCAAATAATTCTATGAAAGTACTTGATTGAACTACATTATTATTGAAAATTTTATATTTTATGAAAAAAAATTAATACATTTGATTCTATTAGCAATATCTAATTTTCATGATTATATTATTGAGAAATTATTATTTATTTCTAGCTTAAGTATATGATTCATTATTTCATTAAGTCACTTTGAGCATAATTTATTATCTATTATCTTCATATATTTTCATTATAATTTTTATTGGAATGCTACTTACCGGTAATTTCTTTGATCTCAGATATTATAGTTAACCCTGTGCCTCCAGCAGATCATTAAAGGGCCATTTTGTTTTTTGTTTTTTGAAAAAGAGGAGGCATGTTGTGATTATTGTTTGGGTAAAACTATGTATTGTATTTTGTAATTATAGCCTAGTGTGCCACGCACACCATACTTAAATCTTAGTCTTATTTTGTTGTTATGTAAATTGCGAGAATGGAGTTAGTTTCCTTGTTGGTTTAGTTGATAGGTTTTGTTGTTATAAAAATTTTGAAAGGTCCAAATTATATGGGGGCTCTGTTAAAATTTTTACAAAATGCTTAAAGCTTTATGAACTTTATTGTTATGTATAACTTACATGTAACGATAATTTAGTTTAGTTTTTGATTTGTTAAGGCTTATGAAAATGAGTTCACCTCATATTTCATGCCGATCACACCCTCAATATCAGGGTGTGACAGCAAAGGTGCTCTCTATAAGTTGGTTAAGCATTTTATAGAATAGTCTTTCGCTCTAGCAAAACAAAGTTTCACTCTAGTAGAAATACTCTCTGAAATTTTGGTAAAAAGTCACAAAGGCATCTACCGCTAGAGCAAAATAAGATTTTGTTGCAGTGAAGGTGCTCTCTGGAATTCTTGATGAAAAGTCATAAAGACATTTACCGTTAGAGTGAAATGAGATTTTGCTGCAATGAAAGTACTCTTTGGAATTTTTGACAAGAACACAGAGAGACCTTTTGCTAGGGCAAAATCTTCTTTTGCTGAGACGAACAAGACAAAGAATAAAAATACTCAAAATCTAAGAAAATATGCAAATGAAGTAAAAACTCACAAAAAATAGCCTAAACATTCTCCCAATCAACACAATCATCATATCAAACCCGCTTTTACACCTCCTAACATTTAATTAACAATTTTCAATTGAAAAATTCATCAACACAAAGATCTTGATCCCATATAAACACCTATAAATATCATCAATTAAGCACAAGGATAGAATACTCCCTCAAAATATTATTGGCTCATTCTTTAATTCCAAGACTTGGCTTTAAGCTTCCAAATTCTTCAAGAACTTTGCAATCCTACGAACATACCAATATAAAAGAAGCACAAACCAAAAACAAAGAAAACAAACAAACCAAAAACACAAGTAAAGGGAAAATAAACTTAGGTTGCCTCCCAAAAAGCACTTGATTTATAGTCTTCAGCCAGACTCTCTTAAATCATCAAGCTGGATCAGCTAGGTGGACAACTAACTTCAATCACTTTATGTCACCTTCCCAATAATGCTTGAGTCTTTGTCCATTAACTTTGAAAGATCTATCCATTGTTTCATCAAGAACATCAATTGCACCATGTAGTGCTACAGAAAGTACTTTAAAAGAATTAGACCATCAAGATTTCAGTTTTCCAAGAAACAACCTTAATCTTGAGTTGAAAAGAAATACCAATTGTCCTGGCTTTAAAGTCCGATGCAAGGTACGTTGGTCATGCCACCTCTTAGTTCTCTTATTATAAAGACTAGTACTTTCAAAACCATGGAGTCTAAACTCTTCTAACTCATTCAATTGCATTATCCTTAATGCACTAGCTTGCTTAGGGTCCATATTCAATTGTTTAATCACCCACCAAGATTTATGCTCCAATTTAATGGGCAAGTGACATGCCTTTCAAAAACCAAATGATATGGTGACATCCCAATTAGAGTTCGAAAGGCTGTGCGATAAGCCCATAAAGCATTATCAACCTTGTCTGACCAATCTTTTTTAGTAAAACCCACTGTCTTGTCAAGTATCTACTTGATCTCTCTGTTAGTTTGCTCATAGAGATCATTAGTTTGTGGGTGATAAGTAAGGGACAGCCGATGGTGGACTCCATACTTTAACAAGAGAGCCTTGAATTGCTTGTTATTGAAGTGCGTACCCTCATCAATGATAATGGCTTAAGGAGTATCAAATCTTGTAAATATGTTCTTCTTCAAAAAATCAGATCACAATATTACCATTATTTGATTGACATGCTATAGCCTCTACCCACTTGTTCACATACTCTATAGCAACAAGTATGCATTGATTTCCTCTAAAACAAGGAAATGGTCCTATGAAATCTACATCCCAAACATCAAATAGTTCCACTTCTAAAATCTCGAATTGAGGCATCTAATGTCTCTTAGAAATATTTCCTATCCTTTAACATCTATCACATTGGCAATAAATTGGTGAGCATCTTTAAACAAAGAAGGCCAATAAAAATTATAATTAAGTACTTTAGATACAATTCTTTGTCCCCCACAATGACCCTATATGCAGATGTATGATAAGCATGTAAAATGGCTTCTTATTTTATTTTAGGGACACATTTTCTAATGATCAAATTAGCACATCTTTTAAACAAAAATGGTTCATTCTAAATATAAAAGTCAACATCATGCAAAAATGTTTTCTTTTGAAAAGGCTTTAAATCAGGAGATAATACTTTACACACAAGATAATTCATAATATCCACATATCATGGTAAAGCACAAAGTATCAACAACAAATAATTGCTCATCAGGAAAATTTTCAGCAATCAACAAGTCATCACCACAATCAAAGACATGAACAAGTCTGGACAAGTGATTAACAACCTGATTTTCAATTTCTTTCCTATCAACAATTCTCACTTTAAATTCTTGTAACAACAAAACCTATCTAATGAGCCTAGGTTTAGATTCTTTCTTATTTAACAAATATCTAATAGCAACATGATCAGTATAAACTATAACCTTAGTACTCATCAGATAAACTCTAAACTTTTCAAAAGCAAAAACAATTATAAACATTTCTTTTTCAGTAGTTGAATAATTTACTTGTGCACCAGCTAAAGTTTTGCTTGCATAGTAGATAAGATGAAAAATATTTTTGTGCCTTTATCCAAGCACTGCTCCAACAGAAAAATCACTTGCATCACACATGACCTCAAAAGGTAGTGACTAATTAGGAGCAACAATGATAAGGGTAGATGTTAATCTACTCTTCAACTCTTCAAAGACCTTTGTACACTCTTCATTAAAATTGAAAGGAGTGTCTTTTTCAAGTAGTTGAGATAAAGGCTTTAAAATTTTGGAGAAGTTCTTGATGAATTAACGACAGAAGCCAGTATGTCCTAAGAAACTTCTCACAGCCTTCATATTAGTAGGTGGTAGCAACTTCTCACAGCCTTCAACTTCCTATAATCCATGCAAATAAACCATCCTGTAACTGTTTGAGTTGAAATTAACTCATTTTGCTCATTAGTAATTACTGTCATTCCTCCTTTCTTGGGAACACATTGCATCAGGCTAACCCATATACTATCAAAAATGGGATAGATTATCCCAACATCTAACCATTTAATAATTTCTTTTTTTACTACTTCTTTCATCATAGGATTCAACCTTCTCTGATTGTGAACGGATTTCTTACGGTCATCTTCTAATAAAATTTTATGCATCACAATAGAAGGACTAATATCTTTAATGTCTGTAATTGTCCATCCCAAAGCTTGCTTGTGATCCTGAAGAACTTTGAGTAACCATACCTTTTGATCATTAGACAAAGTAGAAGAAATGATAATAGGCAATGTCTCAAATTCACCCAAATAAGCATAAGTAAGGTGTGGTGGTAAGGGTTTAAGCTCTAAAATTAGTGCTTGTTCAATTGAAGGCTTTAAAGAAGGAGCTGCTAGATTCCAACTTTAGAAATTCAAATACTCTTCTTGAATTAAGAAATTGAGTTACTTGAAGTAGTTTCTTGTATTCAACAATATCATCATTTTCAACCATATTATCTCCTAATAATACAGCATGTAATAAGTCTTTCACAATAAAGGACTCTAAAGTTTCTTGAACTACTTCATCTAGAATCTTCACTCTAGAACAAATTTTAGATTCCTCAGGATACTTCATTGCTTTATGCATGTTGAAGCTAACTTCTTCATCATTTAGTCTAAGCTTGATCTCTCCTCTCTCAACATCAATGAAAGCTTGTGCTGTAGATAAAAATGGTCTACCCACAATGAGTAGGGGATTTTTGTCTTTATCACAATCCAAGATAATAAAATCAATAGGAAAGATAAATTTATCAACCTTGATTAATACATCCTCAATTTTACCTTTAGGAAATGCCAAACTTCTATTAGCTAATTGAAGAGTTACTGAAGTGGAACTAACTTTACTAAGTTACAATTTTCTAAACATAAAAAGTGACATCAAGTTGATACTTGAGCCTAAATCACATAATGCGCCACCTTGAAATTTATCTCCAATCACACAAGGAATTGAGAAACTACTTGGATCATGGCATTTTGGAGGTAATTTGTTCAAGAGAATGGCACTACACTCTTCAACAAGCGTAATTATTTCACATTCACTCAACCTCCTCTTCTTGCTCAACATCTCCTTCAAGAATTTAACATATTGAGGCATTTGCTCCAAAGCTTCAATGAGAGGTATGTTGATGTGCAATTGCTTGAAGATTTGCAAGAATTTCTTGTATTTCTCCTCTAATGCCTTCTTTTGAAATCTTTGAGGGAATGGTAGTAATGGCATCCAAGAAAGATGATCACTAGTTGGTCCCTTTTGGAGACTCCTTCTCAATATCATTTCCAACAATCATAACTTTAGCTTTAGTAGGTGTAGAAGATACCTCTTACTCAGTTTGATCAATTTCTGGCTTAGGTGTAGACTCAGAAGTAGGAGGGAAAATTTTAGATAATTGCTTCCCACTCTTTAAGGTAGTTTCTTTGTACTCCTCATTTCCTTCCCTATGAGGATTAGCCTTCGTATTGCTTGGCAATCCCCCTTTATGAAGTGCAATCACTGCAATTGCAATTTTCCACATTTAAACCTCAAGATTCTTTAGAGATGAATCAACTCTTGCATTAATACTAGCTTGATCTTGATTGTTCTTAATCTGAGATTCTACTAATTTTTCCATTACTTCTTTTAAGTTAACTCTTGACTCTTGACTCTTGAATAAGAATAGATTACTTTTCAACTTAAGGAAAACCTGGAGAAATGATTGGCTTTGCACTAGAAGATGAAGCTTGATTAATGGTTGCACTATTTTTCCAAGAAAAATTAAGATTTTGATGCCACCTAGGATTGCAAGTGTTTGAAAATGGGTTGACTTAATTATTACCATGATAATTCCCAACATAATTTACCATCTCAACTTGTTGAGAAAGATGGCAATGTTCAGTAGCATGTGCATTTTCACAATAATCATACTAAGCATATATGGCATGAGCTCTTATAGGCCTACCATTGTTCCGATCAACACATGCTTCTAAACGGTCAAATCTTTGACTCAGAGTCTGAAATAAAGCTACTACTTGGGAAGATGAAGAGTCATCAGTAACTTTCTTATGGTCTCCCAGGTCTTCTCTCATTGTTGTTCTAGATATAATTAACAACAAGATCACCTAAATAATTCTAGACATAGTTCACCAGTTGCTTTGTAATCCCATCATTAGTGACTGAATTCATTTTAGACTTAGATTCAGGTGTCAACCGGCTACTAAAAACTTGAATCAAGACCAATTTCTCTTGATTATGCCTAGGACTTTGCTTCACCAATTGCTTAAAACTTTCCTAAGCTTCATACAAATGTTCACCAAACTGTTGATTAAAATTAAGAATGTTGGCTCTAGAATCAACCATCTTGTTAAGTGGGAAAAATCTAAATCTGAACTTGCCTTCTATTTCCTCCCATAATGAGACATTAGCCTTATTCAAATTGTTAAGCCAATCCTTAGCTTTTCCTTCTAGAGAGTAAGGAAAGAGGTGAAGAAAGATGACATCTTGATAAACCTCATTTTGCTTGATTGAGTCACATATATTAAGGAAGTTCACTAAATGTCTATTAGGATCCTCATCTTGATTTCCTGCAAATTGCCCATGCATCTCAATCATCTTAAGCATGGTTTGTTTAATCTCAAAGTTGTTGGCTTGGAAGTTAGGCACTTTAATCCTAGATTGGTATCCTCTAGGTTGTCTACCCAAGAAATTAGTAACATATAGCCTATCATTCTCATCCTTAGCCATCTCTTCATTTGTAACTTTTTCACTGTTCACAGGTTGAATTTGATGTGAAATAGCTTCCAAAATTTCTTTGAGACTCTTTATTCTCACAAGTATCTTTTTTGATCTAGCTCTACGTGGCATGCAAAATAGTCCTACAAAAATAAGACAAGATCAAAGACCTAACTGAACAAACAAAACAAATAAAAAAAATCACAAAATGAATGCTCAAGCTAAAACTACTCAAGGTCCTCTATTTCTAATTATCAATTGCATAGATTCCCTGGCAATGATGCCAAAAACTTGATGCCAAGTGTACAGTTCATAATTAGAAAGTGGCAAATCAAGGTCAATTCCACGAAGAATCAAGTTAATTGATAATTAGGCAATAAAGTCTCCATTTTCATTTAAGTTAAGCAAAGCAAGATATGGATTTGATTTTTGCAAAATAAGAATTGAAATTAGAAAAATGCATTAACATTAAAATTCCAACAACCACAAACAATCAAGGCAACCTAGTGTGGCTAATTTCTTTTTCAATTCATAGAGCATGCAATTATCCAAATAAATTCACTTAATATTAATTTTTTAATCTAGAGAATTAATAGAAATAATTATCTATCGATTAATTACACGCTCTCTTGAATTAATTTGCTATTTCTAACACAATTACGCAAGAGGCAAAATGGCACAAATTCACTCTAATGTGAGTATATGGGTCCAAAAGGTATATTTCTATCCTATTGGCAAATTAGAATAAATTATAATCCTACATTACTCAATCTAATGGCCAAATTCAAATTTTCCTTTTCTAAGAAAAAACTTAAACTTTCAAATTCACACTCAAAGGCAGCCAAGCATTAAGTGGACAAATAAGCAAATGATTAAGTAAACAAAATTAATTAAACTCAAATAAATTGTTCAAATATGTTTTAATCCAAGAATTAGTTCATAGCTACCCTAGAATAAGAGAAAATCAGCCACACATAGCTTCTATGACAGCAAAATCAATAATATACAGCAAACCAAGGAGAAGAAGGAGAAGAAAAGCTTAATGGATCAATCTTGAGCAAAACCCTTAATTTTCTACCAAACCCAAACTTCTCCAACCCATTTTTGGTTCTTTTCCCTCTTCCTAGATGTTCTGCAGCTATTAGAGGTGAAGAATGATCGAAAATGAGATGCCCAAGCCCTAAAAATTTGCTAAGAGTTAAAATTGTGTGTTTTACTAAAATCATGAGTTTTCGCTGTAGTGAACATAACCTGTTTATATTTTCTTTTTAAATTTAATTATTTTGACTTAGGCTCCAAAATTTTCTTCTTTGGGCTCACAAATTGGACCTCTCTACATGCATAAAACTTAGAATAAATGATATAATTGGTCCACTATTTTCTAACATATTTTCAAGCCTATTTTTACACACATTCATCCACTTAATCATATTTTTGCTAACAAAATCAAATAAATGACTTCCAATTACATTAAAAATATCAATAAATTTAATAAAATATTGGAAGTTTTGTCAAGGTGCCAACACAGCCACGTCATTGATAGTCCGTCTCCTGCTGACAATAGCGATCTGCTTCATTACGACATGGATGAAATCATTGACACCATCCTGGATGTTCAATTCAATCTCTTTGATTGTGGCGGAATAGCTGTTGGTGTAAGGCTCTCCCATAAGATTGCCGATCCAATGTTGTTTTTCCAGTTTAACAAGAGTTGGGCAGCCATGACGTGCGTGAACCCGAACAAATCAGAACCCACTTTCAATTGGGTCCGGATCCTCTCAAATTCCTCTCCATCAGTGTCCCTCAATGGCAGCAAAATATCTACACTTCAATCCTTATCTAATGCCTCATATCTTGCCACATCATCCAATATTAAAATAATTTAATTATAAAAATAAGTTTTTACACCTTATTTCACTACTTCTTATATATATATATATATATATTAGGATAATGATTCAAATTGATTTTTTTTATCTTCAAAACTTATCCTAAAAGATTACTCTGCAAATTTTTTTAAAATAAATTTTTATTAAATAAATCTGGCCAAAGTTTGAATTAGCTTGATTATGAATCCTTGCAAGCTAGTTTGAATGAGTTAGCTTGTAGGAATTTACAGTCTGACTTATTCAAATTCTAGCCAAATTTATTGAACAAAAATTTATTTTAAAAAGAACTGCTAAGTAATTTTTTAGGACAAGTTTTGAAAATAAAAAAAAATCAATTTCAATTATTATCCTAAATATATATATATATATATATAAGTAGTGAAATAAGGTGTAAAAAATTATTTTGTAAAATTAAATTATTTTAAGATGGGATGATGTGGCAAGATATAAGTCATTAGATGTGGATTGACGAGTAGAGATTTTGTTTCTGCTGAGGGACGCTGAGAGAGAGGAATTTGAGAGGATCTGGTTTTCTTTCAATCCTCCTTACTCTTCCTGCCAAAAGACGTATTTGGATATGACCCAAATTCACACGTCAGGCAGCACAGAGTCATATGTAATAGGTTCATACTTGAAGCATCCGTAATAGAATCTCTAAGAACAAAATATTCCAAGAAGGTCCTAGAAGGCCAAAAAACACCTTCAAGGGTCAAAATTTTATCAATTTTCCTATTGAACCCGTTCGCTGCTGCTACAAAAGATCAAGGGGACAATAGTAAGATTCACTTAGTGACATCCACACTGAATCTACGCCTAAGAATGGAGCCTCCATTGCTAGAATATGCATTCAAGCACTATTACTGGTATGTTCGAACGTTTACAACGTTAGACGCGAAAGTAAAGTGCAACGACCTAGGAAGATAGCTACAAGAAGAGCTACATGAAATGGACAATGATTTTATTGAGAAGCTTTGAGAAAGCAAAGAATGGAACCCTAATACAGAAGAGATGGGCAGAGCAACTACCAAAGGAGTGTTGGTGCCAGTTACTTTCACTTCACTGTGTAGGTTTTCGGTGAAAGAGCTTGATTTTTGATGGGGGAATCTGACGTGGATCGGACAGCCTACGTGGAGATTCAAGAATATGATTGCTCTTAAAGACACTAAGTCTAGCGACGGCATTGAAGCTTACATCAACATGACAGAGGATGACGTGGCTAAATTTGAATGGGAGGAGGAAGTTCTTACTCATGTTTCCACTAAGTAGTTGAAATTGTTAGATATTTTATATTAAGTATAATTGAGAATAGTATACTTTATCAAGATAGTTTAAGTTATTTAGTTAGATACTTTCTACGTTTATATATTTATGATTTATCTTCTAATCTTTACATGTGAGACTTCTTCTATGTTCTAATATTCCATCTACTACTTTTTGTTTCTCTATTTCTTTTCATTTTCATCTACTACTTGTATTTTGATTTGCCTGATTACTAATTAATTGTCATTCTTTTGGGGGGTGGTTGTTTTGAAAGTCAAACTTTCAACTGCAACTTTTAAAATTTACCGCAAAAAGTCACACTTTTTGCAATGACTCTAAAAGATTGCCTCTAATTGTGTACTTTTAGAGGCGACTTAGATGTCATCATTGAAAGTTGTCACTAAAAGTTTTGTTTTGTTTTGTTGTTGTTTTTTTTTTGTAGTGACAAAGGCACCAATAGTAAAAATATGAAGAAAATGAGAGCATTAATATTAAAGTTTCAAATAACAAGGATCTAGAGAAAGAATTTAAAATTATAAAGAAGTTATACCTCCAATGGTCCACCTAAGCCTTCACCTATGAGGACTATCAGACTGATTTGGAGGAGGAAAGATCTGACTGGTATGAAAAGAGCTCAGGTGAGAGAACAAGATGAAACCAATGAAGAAGTAAGGCCGAGAGTCAGAAATTGAGGAGAGAAAGTATCCAAAACTGATAAAGATTGGCTAAGTTTTGAATGGAAAGGCCCAAACACGGTAAACCTAGATAAAAACGCCACAAATAAAGCTGATCCTAATAACATTTCTAGTAGACCCTCTAAATGTGTGCATAATATGGTTAAAGGCAACAAGAGGAATTTGGGCTCATGTGCTAAGTGCATAAATGAATTAAGGAAAATAAATGTCCAAGGGAATAAATTTGATCATAATTTGACTAGCTCTGTATTCTCACCTGATCTAAATGTCTGGTAAAAACATAATAATGACAAAAGCTCTTCCCTCTAGCAAAATTACATCAGTGCTTCTATTTTCCCACTTGACCACAATAAACCTCTTGATCCTAATATCAACCTCAATATTGTACTAGAAACCCAATTCCATGAAGACCCTTCTAAGGACTTGGTTAACAATCTATCTATTATGGAAGCTGAGCAAAACGAATTCATTCAAGAAAATGATGAAGATGATATTCTCGATGATGATCTACTGGATGAACAATTTAGCAAATCCATCCACTATGATGATCTTGAGGATGATGATTTTAGTGATGACCAAATTGAAGATTCTCTGGAAAATCATGATGAGTAATCTTCAAACAGGTTTATCTTCTCCTTTTCTTTTATTATTATGGATTTAATTTGTTGGAGTTGTAGAGGTGCCTGTACTAAGAATTTTCCTACACGTATTAAAGAAATGACTAAAAATTTTAATACTCAAACTCTTATTCTTCTTGAAACTAGAGCTAGTAGTTCCAG